GCACGCCCTCCACGCCTTGCTCTCGCGCGCCCCGTCGCACCACTTTGGAGGGCTGCGCGTCGCTCCCGATTTTGTCGAGGCCTCGCCGAGATGCAGCCGAGACGCAGCCGAGATGCAGCCGAGACGCAGCCGAGATGCAGCCGAGAGGCAGCCGAGAGGCAGCCGAGAGGCAGCCGAGAGGCAGCCGAGAGGCAGCCGAGAGGCAGCCGAGAGGCAGCCGAGAGGCAGCCGAGTCGAATCGCGCTTGCGACAGGTGCCTTCCGTCCTCTTCGAGCGCCTCGCCCTGCACCCGCCGGCCCTGGAGGCGTGGAGCACGCACATGGAGACCGGCGCCTCGCCCGCCCGCCGAGGAGGAGCAGCCGGCAGACTCGCGCGCGCGCCTCACCTCCTCCTCCTCCTCCTCCTCACGAGCAGGCTCGCCGATCCCTCCGGCAGAGGCGGCGGCCCTCTCGCGCGCAGTCTCGGCGGTGCCCTTCGGCGGCGCGATGCGGCCGCCACCTCCCTGTCGCCTGCTCCTCTCCCCCACGAGGGAGTGTCTGACCTCGAGGCGAGCGCTGGCCGTAGGCTGCAGCTCGACGCCGTGCAAGCGATGCTCGACCTGGAGCTGCACCGCAGCCCCTCGCCGCCCTCGCAGGAGGAGGCGGCGGCGCTGGTCACCTCCCTCCACGCGAAGCACACCGCCGTTCCGCTGCCGTCCGCCGCTGCCGCGGAGGCGGGCGCGCGGCTCGGCTCGTTTGGCCACCTGGCGAGCTACGGTGGCCACTATTACGCCTACCTGTACGCTCGCTCCGTGGCCGCGCGCGTGTGGCGTGGGGCGGGCTTCGCGCACGACGCCCTCGGGGGCGCCGCTGGCCGCGCGTGGTGCGCCGAAGTGCTTCACCACGGCGGGTCGAGGGACCCGCGACAGCTGCTGCAGTCGCTGCTGCGGTCGTCGCCTTGCGGGGAGACGAGCGGCGCGGCGAGCGGCGCCGTCGCGGCGGAGGGGTCGGCGGCGAGCTCGGAAGAGGTCGTGGAGCAGGCTTTGCTGAGGCTAGTGCGGCTAGAAACTGAAGCGTAGGCCGTCGCGTGTGTGTATCCGTTGTATGTGGCTCGCCGACGCCGTTTTTGTGACTGTGTGCCATCTCAGAGATTGTGTCAGATTATGTGCGAAAAAAGACAATTTTGTAAAAATGCATTGGTCGTTTCCCTTTTCGAAATCGAACGTGCTACGCTCTACGGCGGTTGAATGCGTGCGGCCGGGGGAGGGGCACGTATAAAGCCATATCGATACACTCGGCAGAGCCTCTGTGAGCCCCACGCGCCACGGCCTCTGGCATATGGAAGGTAAGGTAAGGTAAGGTAAACATCTCCACACACACAAAGTGGTGGGGCAGGGGGGGCGACCCTCGCATCTCCACGGCATATGAAAGCACAGCGTGTGCCGGTACTTTTTAGAGTGTAGTGACGTACTGTGTAGCGGGTAGCGGTTGGGTGCGCGGCACGCAGCAGGCGGTCTGAGGGTGTGTCAGCTCGACGCGCTTCCTGACAGTTGATCTTTCTGGCTGAGTGTCCGATGAATCGACTCGCTCTCGCTCGCTCGCTCACTCGCTGAGGCCGCAGAGCTAGCTTTGACGCTGCTGTAGATGGCGACCCCAACTAGGAGGATGGCGGTGCCAGCGAGCTGGAGCCAAGATTGGCGAGTCCACGCTTCGCCATGGGCCCCGTCGGAGAAGTAGAAGAGCAGCAGTGAGAAGAACCAGAGCGTCAGGGGGATGAAGGACTCCGTAATGGAGCGCCACAAGCCGTCGAGGTAGAAAGTGACGAAGATGGCACCGAGAGAGTAGAAGCGCATTGCCAGCAGATAGGCGGAGATCATCATCCGCAGCAGTGGGTTGTCTGGCGAGAAGAAGATGACCAGAGAGTCGCGCGAGTTCTCAAAGCAGCCGCCGACGTCGTCACCCGGCGCGAGGGCAGCGATGGGCAGCGCGATGAACAGCATCAAGAGCATTCCCCACCCCGCTTCGATGCCCTTGACAACCAGGGGCGGTGTGGTTGCCTCTGGGCCGTTCCCGTCCGAATCCATGACTCTCTCCTCCGCCACGGCCTGCGCCGCGACAAGGAGGCACCCGCAAGTGATCCAGAGGATGCCGCTCGACGGGTCGCTCCCGGGCGTGGAATCCACCATCACGGAGGTGCCAACCAGGCAAACGGCCGCGCTGATCAAGACGATTCCCAGAAGGTGGCCACCTTGCAAGACGGGCGGCATGCGCAACGCCGCACGAAAGATTGCGGTGAAGATGATGATCGACCCTCGCATCGGTTCGTAAACGGAAGCGCGCACCTTTGTCAGTCCGACGAGAAGGCACGTCAGAGCCAGCGTGTCAAAAACTGCCGGCCATAGGAGGGTGAGGACGGTTCCTCTCCGCGGCAGTGGCAGCGGCGTGCTCCATCCGCGCAGCAACTTGTACTGTGCGACGTGGAGCGGCAGCGAGGCGAGAAGCGAACCATACACGAGCGTGGTGACGACCAGCGGCTTGAAAAAGTTGGTGGGCTGCCCCTCCGAGTCGTACACCTCGAGCAAGAAGATGATCTTGGCGCAGAGGGTCGAGCTCGCGCCGCAGACGACGGTGACGACCATCAAGGCAATTGCGGCCCAAGCTCTGGAGCCAGAGACGGCAGACATCGCGGCTCCTCTTGTGGCTGACTTTGCGCAGTCTCTCCCCCCGCTGTAGTGCGACCTCGCCGCCTCCCCCCCCGTCGCCAGCCCCGTGTGCATGCGTTCACGCACTCTCTCGGCCACAGAGAGGAGCAGCGTCGGGCACGCAACGCCCGAGGTGCATTTTTCTAGTGCATCCTCGCCAGCCAGCAAAGGACGCACGCAGACTTCCACAAGCCCGAACCAGATCAAGCACACCAGGAGAGTCTAGAACAGACAGGCCTCTTTCACCTTGAGGAGGGCCTAGAACTTGTTAATACCGCCGCGCGCTAGGCTTGGGGTGAGGTGCCGCTCTAGGAATCTTTTTCTCGAGCCACGCCTTTGTAGTGGCAGCGTGCTGGCGGCGAACTTTTTCGAGGTATGCCTGAGTTAGTGCCAGTGCGCGCCAGTCCCGGCGGACCGTAATTCTTTTCGCGAGTTTCGCGCCGCTCATGCAGCGCCTGCACGCGCTCGAGCCACGCGCTGGATCCGGAACCTGCAACGCATCGAACTGTCTCGCCTGTCGCCAGCCCAAGCTCTGCCAGTGGCGTCGCGAGCGGAAGCACCGGGTGGGGATGTGGGGCCTCGCAGGTCGGCACGTCTCGCGGCACGACTCGCAGAAGAAGATGTGGATGGGGACGTGGGGCCTCTTCGACCAGCCGGCGGCAAGTTTCCTGGCTGGGCGGCCCCTGCGGGTGCTCGCTGCGCCGCAGCAAACGCTGCTGCTGCCCGGAGTCTTCCAGAGGCAGGCGTACAACCCGTCGGTCGTCGCGATCCCCAAGGCACTCGCGGAGAGCCTTGGGTGCAGCTCATGCGCGATGGTCGCGAGCGTTCGCATCGACTGGATGACGCAGTGCAGAGGCTTCACGGGGCCACTCCGCATGTATTCGCACGCCTCGCGGACAGCATTCGGTCGGCGCAAGGCCACCCTCATCATGCTGCTCAGCGCGAGCTGGCGGCCGCTCCACTGGAGCTGGCTCCGAAGCCACGACGCGGCTGCGGGACGCGCGCCTGCTGCTGCCCGGAACGCGTCGCGCCGCAGCGGGCGGGGAGGCAACCGAAAGCTTCCGGACGTGGCGCCACTGCTCGAGGCGTCGGCGCTCAAAGGGCTGCTTCCCGTCGTCGACGCGCGGCTCACCGCTCACGGCGGAGGCGTGAGCCTTCTCGGAACCTTCCCGCGGAGGGGCTACGCCTCCGGCTTCGGCCCGCTCCACCTGAGGCTGGTCGGCAGCCCCGCCTCCCTCGTCGCCACGCTCGGGGGCGGAGACGGGCCCGGCCGCACCGTGGGCGATCGCAAGGCTGCGAGCGACAAGAGATGCGGCGGCCGCTCCCAGTCCTTCTTCGAGCGGCAGCCGCCGGCGAGCGGTGCCGCCGCCTCGCGCGAGCTCTACTTCATGTCTTGGCTCTCCCCCGGCGTCGTCTGCACGTCGCGGCTCGAGAAGAATGTCTCCAGGGGCCAGAGGCGGAGGGCGCGAGTCGACAGCGTCGCTCACGTCACCCGCGGGCTGGACTGGATGCGTGTCGGCGCGCACCCGACGGCGGCCGCATCGCCGTCGGTATGTGGTCGGCGCCCGTCAGGCGGAACGCTGCTCTTGTAGGCGGCTGCGAGTCGAGCGCGCGCTTGGTCGCCCTGGCGCGAGCCGGCGGGTGCAAGTTCGACTGCGCCGCCGCGAAGTGCCGCATCTCGCTCAACGGCGTGTTTGTGACGCTCCCGGGAGGCGAAGAGCTGCTCGGCGTCGCGCACTTGCACCGCGGGTACAAGGACACGCTCTCTGGCAAGCGGCTTCCGCAAAACATCACGTCCTTTGGGCACCACTACACGCACTTCTTCTTCACGATCAGCTCCGCGCCACCCTTTGAGGTGCCCACTCCCTTGCGAGGTGTGTTGGGGGGCGGGCGTAGCGGAGCTGACCGCGGTGTCCCTCCGCTGCTCGGACAGGTGAGGCGGGTCGGGTCGGAGTTTTGCATCGGCTCGCTGCCGCGCCAGCAGCAGCAGGGGGGCGTCTTCACCGGCAGGTCAGCGCCGGCGTCAGCATCGAGGGGAGAGGGAGGAGAGAGCGAAGGCACGAGTGTGGAGCGCAGCCGCGGCCTCGATTGCGAGGTGATACAGTACGTGACCGGCATGATGCTGCAGGGCCAGGCGCTCACGCTCACTTTTGGCGTCAACGACTGCACCGCTCGCCGCGCCGAGTTGGCGCTGAGCGATGTGCTCCATGATCTGCTTCGTGTTGCACCGCCGCCCACAGAGCCATCGGTCGTGAGGACCGACGAGGAGGTACACACACATCAGCATTGGATTTAGATTTTGGTGTCGTTTTTTTGAACAATCGAATGTATGTTGCTCTATAAAAAATAATTTAAAAAGCATGACAACATATGTCACCTCATGCACTGGTACGATAATAAACACAGCTGACACCGCTCACATGAGCTCTATCCCCACAAGTCGACAAGCCCTGTATCATAGATCTAGTGTCGAGACGACACCCTTTAGCACTTACCTAACCCCAGTATTGACGGATGCTCTCCGCTGCTGCTGCCGTCGCCTCATCATCTCGAGAGACTCCCTCCAAGGCAATGACCACTGATCAGCTGACCTATCCGTGCCATTGCAGCGGCCGTTGGCAAGGCCATCATTGTACTTCTCGGACGCAAAGGGTGCCTGCTCGGGCCACGTCTTGCGTAGCAGAGATACGAGATCCGCGTTTGGCTCCTCGAAGAACTGTCGTACCACGCACTCGATTAGCCGTCCTAGGTAGCGGCCCGGCCTCTCGTTCGCTCCAATAAAGTCGGTGTCAAAAGCTGGCATTCGGGTGTTGAGAAACCGGTGCAGACTGTCGTAGGCGCGCCGGCGGTTCTCTTGCCGGTCATCAACAAAGTCCTCAAAGTGGAGCACAAGCATTCGCTCCTTCGGGAGCATGTGCAGCCACGTGGTGAGTTGCTTGGCATAGAGGCCGTAGTCGACCGCCTGGCATGCCAGGTTCCAGCTAGTCGCGCAACGGTTGATGCCCGATCGCGTCGCCTCGCTCAACAGTTGCATTAGCGAGCCGCTCCGCATAGCTCGGCAGAGCTCCTTGCGGTGCATTGTGGCCTCCTCATGATTGCTCCATCTCTTGGTCGCGTGACATATCTTGCAGCGGCCCTGAGTGTCGTCAATGAGTCCGTCGCATCGCTCGAGCTCGAGATCGAGCGCCGCCGCGAACCGAGTGACTGGCTCCCTCACCAGTGCTATGGTCCTCTGCAGTAGCAGCTGCTCTCAGCGGTTTTGAGAGACGGGTAGGGTCCCGAGTCGGTGTAGGTTGCATCGAAGACGCAGTCTGGGTTGCAGGCCTTCCAGATTGCGATTTGCGTATAACTTGGTCGCCTCGTTGAAGAAGCCGAGGTCCACCCCGAGTGCTGTGTAGTCGTTCAGCTGCTTCACCGCGCCCTGCAAGATGAATGCCTTGAGGTCTACCTTCTTGATGCCGTATGTCTCCACCGCCTGCTCGAGCTCCTTAGTTGTCCAGGCATGCTCACCCATGTTGAGTATGTCGAAGAGAATGCGAACTCTAGTAGTTCAACTAGCCAACTAGCAACTCAGCACCGGACCGCCACCGGCCCCTTTCGAGCAACCTCAATGGCTGCTTCCTTGCACCTGTCGAGTTCGCATTCTTTGACTGCATTGCGGTTGGCGATTGGGAGAGCAATGATCTCCGGGAGCAACGGGGAGAATCGGTTGGCGCGTTTTCTCGTGCGAGCGTGTTCTCTCTGCGACCATAAAACGCCGCCGTCCCCAATCACCGGCACACACGCGCGGTGCGACACGTGGCGGGGCAATTTCCGCGACCTCGCGCCGCATTCCCACACAGTCCTAGTGCACGCCGGCCGGCCACCACGACGGCCGCAGCGGGACGACCTCGCCCGCCTCCTCTGCGGTGAGCACGCCTCCGCCCATCGCCTCGAGGCGGCAGAGCGCGGCGCCGAGGCCGAGCGCGCTGTCGAAGAGGCGCAACTTGCCCGCCGGCTTGCCCGCCGCGTCCTGCAGCGCGCTGCCCGCCCCCTCGGGCGTGCCTCCGCCCGGCTGCGCCTCCAGCCACGCCTCCACCGGAAGCGCCGCCGCGAGTGCCCTCTCCGCGGCCGGCAGGTGAGAGAGGGCCGCGGGCAGGACGTCCTCGGGCGGCGGCGGGCCGAGAGCGGCCGCGACGGAGGCCGAGACGAGCGGCGCCATCCGCTTGCGCGTCACGCCTCGCGACTGCGTCCTCGCCGTCAGCTCCTGCCCCAGGTAGCAGCCCTTGTCAAACGCGACGCCGCCGAGCACCTCAAGGTTGCTCTCGAGCGGCAGCGCCTCAGTGGGTGGCAAGTAGGCGGGCCCGTCGCCCACGCCGAGAATCGCCTCGCAGAGCGCGTGCAGCGCCGCCGGCGCCGCCTCGGAGGACCCCTCCCCGCCCCCTGCCCCGCCAAGCAGCTCTGCAGGCGGCTGGGCGTCGCCTCCGTCCGCACGCGGCGCCACGCCGCGCCAGCCGAGGCAGCGGAGCCGCGGGTCGCGCCACGCGCCGCCGTCGCCCGGTAGCGCGACGCCGTCGGCGGGCTCGAGCGGCACGGCGGTGCCACACGCGGCGACGACGGCGAGCTCCGCTGACCGGTCAGCGATGGCCACCTTTGAGCGGAGCTTGTAGCGCTTCAGGTGCTTGAGGAGGAGCGGCGCCGAGCCGACGTGCGTGTCGATGACCACACCATCCTCCGACGCCGGCAGCAGGAAGCCGGTGGCGAGCACGCGGCCCTGCGCATTGAGGAAGCCCGTGTAGAGCGGCGTGCCGGCGGCGAGCTCGTCGGCGTTGGCCGTCGTCAGCCCCTGCAGCAGCTTGCGGCTGTCGGCGCCCGTGAGCGATAGCACGGCCCGGTCGGCGAGCGTCGCGTGCCAGCGGCTGGAGGCGAGGTAGCGGAGCATGCACGCCACCCTCTACCTCGATGAGGTCCGGCGACGAGCTGCGGTGGCCGAGGTCCACGGCGCGCGCTGGCCGACTATCTGGGTTCCAACTTCTGCGGGGGTATGGTACTGAGATTGGTTCGTGACCGCGGGTGTTCCGCTTATGAATCTTTTGGCCACCCGTGGCTCTACCCTTCGCGCCCTTTGCCCCCCGCCCCGTGGCCGCGCCCATGGCCCATCAAGGCGGTGCGCGGTCGGTGTAGTAGGTGGATTGCTTCCACGGCCAGCCTTGCCGGATGCCGCGCTCGTTCCCCATCCTTTCGAGCTGCGCCATGGTGATGGACTGCACCCCCGCGCAGCTTGCTGGAGGGCGCAACGTCACGTTCCGCCCCGGACGCAAGAAGAAGGGCATCGAGGCTCGACCTGCAGCGGGCGGCGGCAGCACGGCATGCATGCACGCCGGGATGGCGCCGCCAGTCAGAAACGAGAGCACGTCGCCAGCAAACATCAGCGCCTCGTCCGGCATCATCGAGGCCTCAGGGGTGATGGGTGAGCCGTCGGACGCGTGGCGGCACACGAGCCGGGCAGCCGTCCCGGCCGGGGCGAGAGTCAATAAAGTTCCGTCCGTGTGCCAGGGTTGCGTAATCGCCGACTCGGTCGCAGGGGCGTCGTACTGGCACAAGCGGAGCGAGGACCCGGCCGATCGCCCAGCCTCGGACGACGCGGCCAGGTCGAGCATCGCAGTGATTGCTGCCGAGTCTAGGCCCGCGGCGAGGGCGACGGCAGCCAGCGCGGCTTTCGACGCTGAGAAGAGCAGCCCGATTGCCCGACGCGCGGCGCGCTGCAGCTCTCCGTCAGGTGGCCAGGCAAAGCCACCATTGAGCCGGAGCGGCACTTCAAAGGCCTGCAAGTCATTGCCAAAATCGAGGTACCCCGCGTGACGCAAAGTGGCACTTGGCGCGACCCGATGCCTCCGCTTCTGCTCAGCCGGCAATCCGAAAAAGGAAGTGCTCGCGTTCAGGCATGCAGCTCGCGCGGCGCCGAGCCCAGGGATGCGCACAAAGGCGTAGCCGTCCCGTTTGAGCGCCTCGAGGAGAATTTGGCCCGTGCCGGCCTTGCTCAAGGTGATGAGGTCGATGTGCAGCCCAGGCGCCGCCGCCGCTGGCGAGGTGCCGAGCGGCAGCGCGGCCTCCTTCTCAGGAGCTGGCGGAGAAGTGCGAAGCGGCAGCGATTCCCGCTCTCGACGCCGGAAGCGCATTATGCGGCGGCGTCGACCGGCGCCCGAGTCGGTGCCCGGCGCAACCTCAATGTTGCTCCCCCGGCAGAGCCGCCACATCTCCTCAAAAAGCACCGGGGCACTCAGCAGAGGGAGACCCTTCAGCTGCTCGGGGCCCATGAGTCCCTGCGCGATCGCCTCGCGTAGGCCCAGCATAGCCCTCGCCGCATCGACTAGGCGGACGCCGCCGAGGATCTCTGGCGGGTACGGCGGGCAGCGCATCTGCCCGCTGAGCGCCTTGAGAAAGACTTCGCGCTGCTCGCCCCAGTCAGTGCCAAACTCGGCCGTCCGAGGGAACTTGTTCAGAACGGCCGCCCGGCTGACCCAGTCTGCCTCGACAAAGGCAGTGGAGAAGAAGAAGAGCTTGGCCGTGGTCTGAAGCAAGTCGAGGTGGCTTTTGCCCGCTCGCAGTGCCGCCGCCATGACGAGCGACATGATCGTGTTGAGGAAGAGCGGAGCGCAGATGCGCATCCGACCCTTTTTGATCTCCCACTCCACCCGAATGCAGTCCTTGACCAGCCGTAACCGCTGCTCGCGCCGCGGAAGCCACTGCTCCAGCCCAGCGCCGTGGACGCGGACCCCGGTCACGTCGCCATCTGCCAGGGGCAAGTGTTGGAGGTGGGCGGCACGCTCCGCTCGAAACGTCGGGTCGTGGTAGTTGCTAAAGGCAGGTCGGCCCCGGAAGCGCACAAAGCTACCTTCCCGCAACGCGCGCCGAAAGTCGGCGCTCTCCAACGCAGCGCAATGCAGCCGCTGAACCGTGGCAATGTAGGTGTCCTCAGGAAGCGCCATCAAGCTCGAGCTCTGCACCGATCGGAAGTCTGCCAACCGCACGTCAGGCGACGTCTGGCTCTGGTTCACCTCCAGGCACTGCGCACCCCCCTTGTTGGAGAGCACGAAGCCGACATTGTCGGCAATCACTGCTCGCTCGTACTGGAAGCCGTCGCTGCAGATGCACTGCCAGAGGTTGAGGAGCCGCTCGCCGCTCGCGCGGTCGATCAGAGTCGACAGCTCCATGCAAAGGCCCCCGTACTTTCGGAGCACCGCGAGCCGCACTGCGTCCGACTGAAACGTAGCCGCGTCGCCCGCGTCGAGCTCTTTGCCCAGTGCCCAAAAAGAGGAGGGAAGCGCGCCGGAGGCCGGAGTGCCGCCCTCACTCGCACCCTTGCCGAGGCCGACACCGGGGGCGCCGAGATACTCCTCGAAGTTGCCCAGGTGAAGCACGCGGATGTGAACCGCCACTCCAAGGTGCTTTGCCAACCGGCTTCGTGCGAGGTTCTCTTCCCACGTCGAGAGAAAGTAGCGGCAGGCCTGGCTGCTCGCTGGTGCTGCACACCACGCCCATACGTTGAGCGTGGGCGGCGGCTCAGGGACGGGCGGCGGCTCTGGACCGGCGGCCAAGAGTGCGGACCGTGGCGGCTTTCGCGAGGACGCGTTGCGGACCTTCCGCGCCATGACCGCGCCCCTCTGCGCTGGGGATGCGATGAATTTTAGCGGGCGATGATTTACGTATTACGAATATTGGCAGAAAAAAATAAAAAAAACTCCGGAGGGGGGTAAAAGGAGCAAGTGTCCGCCCATGCGGTGTTTGTGCAGGGGTTTGTACAGAGAACCTTTCACATAGGCGCTGAATTGCACAAGCCACAACTCTCGGCTCGGCTCGGGAGTCGGGTCTCACCCTTCTAACTTGCCATACGTGCCCGCCCCACCAAGAAAGGCGGTCCCGACAGCCCTCACGCCGCCGTCCTCGCCGCCCTCCTCCAAATCTTCTCGCGATGCCGCCAGGAGACTGCGCTGGTCGGGCTGGCCGTGGCCCAGAGGCAGGAGGCGGCTGAGACTAAGCGGCTGGGTGACGGAACGGTCCATCTCAGACGACGGCGTCGCCACTTGTGGCGTGGGGACAACCGGCGCCTGGTAGCGATTTTCTGCACTGCTGCTCACGCCTGCAGCCGCCGACCTCTCGCCTTCGCCATCGAGCAAGCTCTCTCGGAGCTCACCGCGAGCCCTCCCGCCTCCTGCGATGCCCGCCACGCCGCTCAGCACCTTGGCGAGCAGGATCGGCTTGGAGGCCCCTCCGCCCGCCTCCGCCTTGACAGGTCTCGCGAGGGCGATTGACGCTGTCCGCCCGGCGGTCGGCGGCGGAGGCGGCGGGGTGATGTCGGAGTGGTGGGTTGGCGGGCCGCCGGACGCATCCACGCGCGACTGCATCAGCGCCAGTTCGAGCGCCTACAACGAGCGCGAAGTCTCGGCGAGGCCCTCAAGCGCACCCTTGCCTCGGGCTTTGCCTCGTCTGGGGATAAGCCCAGCTCAGTGTGGCGCGCGACCAGCTCCGGCGCGGGCGGCGGCGCCTCAAGCCTGCGGGTGAGGAGGCAGCCGCTCACGTGACAGCACCAGCTTGAGACCCGACCCTGTGATCGGCGAGCACCGGCTTGCTTCCAGGGCGGCCGCCAGCTGCTCCTCTTCGCTCGGCTGCTGCTCGGCAGCCGCCGGACGAGGACCGCCGCAGGCCGCACAAGCCTGTGGACGCGGTGACGCCGTCAGAACTGTGCAGCTGTAGCTGTGTAGCTGTATCTGGCAGCGGAGCGCTGTGGCGCTCAGCCACCTGCTCGTGGGGCTCGTTCTCCAGCGTGCAGCGACTGCAGCTCCACGCCGGCAGCGCATTCCCTCTTGCTGGCAGCTCAATCGCGAGGCTCATGCCAGGGCGGTAGAAGGGAGGAACTACCGCCTCGAAGAGCTCGCCGCCGACGGACACGCGAAAGGTAGAGCCCTCGAAAGCGCCCGCTGGAATCAAGACCTGAACGCGCTGCGTCCGGCTTGATGGCGGCTGGCTGAACGGGACTGCCGGCGTCGGCTGGCTAGACGGTCGCGGCGTCTCACACACCGTGCACGCTCGGTCGTGGTCCCTGTTTTCGAAGGTGCAGGCGCCGCATGACCAGGTCATCCGGGCTCGACGGACCGATAGGGGTGCGGCGGGGACCTCGCCGACGCCGCCGCCGAAGCCTTCCCCCAGAAAGAAATCGCGGCATTTCCGCTACGGTCGCAAAACGAGGGCGATGAGAACGATGAAGAGTTGTCGCGAAAAAACAAAAAAAGAAGAACTGGGTTCGTTTTGTGTATACTGTGATGGAGGAATGGTTGGGCAGGTTGTGACTTGTGGGGATCACGAGGCCGGCGTGAACACGACTAACTACGGATCCGCTCCTGACAGCGCTGCGGTGCGTGCGACTGTCTTTGTTTGAAGTTAAAAGTCGAATCAGAGCGCCGTCGCGCGTCGGCGCTGATCCTCGTTTTCCTCCCACGGACCGCCCGTCCGGACCGCTCCGGGACGCACGCCGGCGAAGCACCATCAAGCTGCTGTACGGCCCCGGCATCGCCTTCCCAGGCTTAGCTAGACTGAGAGATATTGTGCAATTGTGGGCATGGTTGGTCTCTACAATATATACACTGTAACACTGACACTGAACCTCCCAGAGCTCGTCCCGGTCCGCCACGGCCATCCTCGGCCTCCGAAGGGCCCCCGGCCGCGGCGCGGTGCGGCGGAGTCACAAATCCGACGGCAGAGCACCGGGACGCGGTCGGATCTGAGGTCCAACTAGGCGTATGCATGCATTGCTCATCCAGGGCTATCACCTGGAGCTGGACCCATCAACAGACAGGCGCCTGCGGCGCCGTGGTCAGGAAGGAGGTGTTGTTTCACACCTGCGCAACCATTCATGCAGCACTTCATTCACCCCCCTGGGTTTCTTGCCGTCGTCCCAGCTGTGAGCAGGGGCCCGCCCCGCACACAGCGGGTCCCCAGTGAAAAGGAGGGGTACACGACGCCAACTACCCTACTATGAAAGTGTGAACAGGTGGGAGCAGCAGCTTCTGACCACGGCGCCGCAGGCGCCTGTTGATAGGTCCAGGTGATAGCCCTGGATGGGCAATGCATACGCCTCACTGGGCCTTAGATCGCCCGACCGCGTCCCGGTGCTCTGCCGTCGGATTTGTGACTCCGCCGCACCGCGCCGCGGCCGGGGGCCCTCCGGAGGCCGAGGATGGCCGTGACGGACCGGGACGAGCTCTGGGAGGTTCAGTGTCAGTGTATATATTGTAGAGACCAACCATGTCCACAATTGCACAATATCTCTGCATTGCTCATCCAGGGCTATCACCTGGAGCTTGGCCTTTACACGCTTTTCTCTGCAAAGGCTATCTATATTCTTTGCATCATATTCTCTCTGGGCCCTCTATATTCTCGAGAATATTCTCGAATATTGAGAATATTTTGACCTCGCGTATATCGACGGAGACCAAAAGTCGCTCCCAAACCCGCTCAGAACCTCCAAAACTTAAAGATTTCAGTCGGCATCGACCCGAAACCTACTGTTGAGGGGGGAATAGCTGTTTCGAGCTCTCTCGTCAAGACCGTTTTAGACGCCGCACAGCGGCAACGTCAAGAAATTCAAGAATATCTTTGGACTCGAGGTCCACCAAGGTCAAGGGCTGCGGAAAGCTCGTATATTCTTGAGGGAAAAGCCGGCCGGGGCATCTATATTCTCGAGAATATTCTCGAATATGGAAGTGTGCGGGACCCTCGGTGTTGTTCACACCTGCGCAACCATTCATGCAGCACTTCATTCACCCCCCTGGGTTTCTTGCCGTCGTCCCAGCTGTGAGCAGGGGCCCGCCCCGCACACAGCGGGTCCCCAAGGGTGAAATGTTTTTGTGTGAAATGCAGCACAGTAGGGATATCCCTATACCAAAAGGAGGGGTACACGACGCCATCTACGCTGGCTTGCCGGCGCTGTGTGTCGTTCGCCATCGACACTCACGCAGGTTCGCGGGTCGCTCAGTGGCCCGCAAAACGCCGCGCTCGTCGTCGATTAGAACCAAGGTCAAGATCTAACATCATCATGTTCGGACTCTTCGGAAAGCCGCCGCCGCCGCCGCCGCCTCTGCCGCCTCCGGACGAAGGCGACATCACCACGCTCATCGGTGCCGCCCTGCTCCAGGCAGTCGTGTGGTTCTTCCTCTCACAGTCCTTCTCACCCATCGTCGTCGGGATAAATGCGTACATCAAGCGAGTGCCCAACGGCCAGAAGAACATCTACCTCAACGTGAAGAGGCAGTACGAGGAGGCTGGTTTCGTAGCTCCAGATACGGTGGCCAAGGCTGTGACTGGGTACTGCTTCAATTACGTCGCTCTCATCCACCATTCGATCGGAACGCTATGCCTCGTCGCCTCGTATATCAAGGTTGACTCATCCCTCTTCCGTGTGGGTCTCAGCTTTGAGATTGGCGAGGGCGTGCAGCACTGCTTGCAGATCGCGCACGCCTACCTCTCGCCTCCAGGTACAAAGCCCATCTGCGACATGGCGAAGCCCATCTGGTCTCTGATCATTTGCCACCATTCGCTCGGGCTCCTCGCCGGGTCGGTTGCGCACCTCTACCTCGCGTCCAATCCGGACGTGCAGCTCCTCTGCGCGCTGCTCCTCGGTGCGGCGGTCCCGGGCTTTGCCAACCTTCCGCTGATGGCGCTCGGCGACCTCGGCGGCACCGGATGGGTCGCCAAGGTCAATATCGCGCTCTCAGCAATTGCCATTGCCTTCATGCTGTACACTCGCGTCCTCTTCTTCTTCCCGACATGCATTCGGCTTACGCCGACCATCTTTGCGTCGCACGGGTCGATTGCGGGCTGGATGGTCGCTGTCAGCCTCGTCCTCTTCTCCCTCTTCAACGTGATCGCGCTCCTCGCAGCCATCGTCGCCGTCGTCAACGGCATCCGGACGCTGCGCGCCGGCCCCGTCCGGCCCTCGCTGGTCAGGATGGCGTCCAAGTCCGCCTCCAACCTCACGATGGCGATGGCGCACGACCGTCCCGACAATGTCGCCGCCCGCGCCGCCTTCAGCCCACTGCTCAACCAAACGGTCAAGGCGACGCGGTTCGTAGCCAAGCTCAAGAAAGGCCGAGGAAAATTGGCGTAAGTGAAAGTGTGAGGAGTACCACACGCGGGCAGCAAACACGCTCGACAATCCGGCCGAGGACTTCTTCCCGCCGCTCTCGGACTCCGCACCCGCCCGGCGACAATATGAAATGAAGAAATGCACGCAAAGTGTACGTACTGGTGTGGGTGCGTGCATGGCGCTTCGAGAGCACAAGGAGAGAGATGTGCTAGTACCAGCAAGCACGTGCCAGTCCGCGCCTGTATCGATCGAGTCTTTTCTGTGAGAGAGAATTTTGTGTAATGTGTCGAGCCTGTCTGCTGTGAGAGAGCGTTGTCTGTAAATTTCTTTCCTGTGAGAGAAGTTCTTCGTTCTTGAATTCTTTCCGAAAGCACTTGGAGCACTTGGAGTGCAGTCATTAACCTCACTCACATCCATCCAGGGCCGGGGAGCTGAGAAGCGCACCCAGCGCCGGCAGCGGGCCGGATGATCGGTATCGGGTTACGGGCTAGAGAGCCCTAGCCCCGGGGGTGCGCGTTCGCAGGGAAAGGGCCGTAAAGTAAACACGGGTCTCCGAGAGGGCTCCGTGTACCGGGTTTCAGCTTAACTCTAGCCTTTCTGAAATTCTAGCACGCGCCAGTTCGCACCTGTGTCGAGTCGAGCCTGTGTGCTGTGTTTTATTTACATTCTTTCCGAATCTGCACAAAACTTGCCGGCCGGACGCGAACTCGACCCTCAATAAACCGTATTGCACACGCCTCATCAGTCATCTACAACCATATATGGGCGCTGCGCAATCGCACCCGCCGCCGTTGCCGCGTCCACCTGCTCCGTTTCTATCGAGCCCTCCTCCACCCTCACCTCCTCCCCCGCCACCGCCGCCTCCGCCGTCGCCGTCTCCCTTCCCGCCGCCGCTTCACCCTCGGGCTGAGATTCCGGCAAGGGCTCTAGCCAGCCTGCGGAATGGCAACTTAGGGCAAGGATCGGGCTGGGTTCAGGGAGACAGCGGTGCAGCAGGCGTGTAGCCGATTAGTCCGCAGACTGCTACCACACTGCTTGGGACCGGGGCGTGACCTGGCCCTCCCTGCTTCCTCACCTCGCCTTCTATGACAGGCACTGCTGGGTGCAGCGTCGGACGCCTGCTGGGCGTTTGCCCCGCGTTCCTCTCGCGGGCCTCGCCGCCACCATGGCCACTGTCGATGGTGTCGGAGCCCCTGGCCGCAGTGCTGGTCCTCGTCGCCGTCGTGGTCTGCATCTTTTGCGCGCTCTGCTCTTGCGTTGCGCGAGTGCGCAAGAGCGAATACCGCAGCGTGTCACAGGCGTGATGACCCACTCCAAGGACACCGGCGGGTGTCCGGCGTGACTGCTCTTGCGCCCCGCTTCAATTCTATAGGTGGACGTGCCGGAGCTTGACGATCCAAAAGAGAAGGGAGAGGAAGAGGCGCCGCTCGCAGACAAATGGCAGCAGACAGACACACCGCCTCGTGACCACCCCGCCCCACCCACACGACGCCGTGCGTCTCTGACCGGTCGACGCTGCGCCCATTTGCAGCCGCGCTTCACCCTGACCGACGGCAGCGCCACCGAGAGCGAGGACGAGCTCGTCGAGAAGGTCGAGGCGGAGGATGTCTGAGCGATGAGGCTGTGGGCCCACCTGGGGTCGCTGCGTGTACAGCTTTATAACGTGAGGTCCGGCGCCTTTAGAGAAAGAAGGGGAAAACGCACCCCATAGGAGGGTGAGGGGAACGGCGGCACAGAGGTGAAAGGAATTCACAAGTGAATCCACTCGCCACCAGCGCCACACACACTCGTCGCAGGTGGCCCGTGCCGTGTTCGTCGCAGAACGAGCCGCAGGGGCGGGTGCGGAGGCGCTTGGCGGGGGGGCGCTGGGGGGCGGGGTCGTGCAGGCGGGGCAGAGCAAATCGGCGTTGACCGGGCCTTCGAGAAGCAGGATGGTCCCGGATAGCCCAAAACCCAGCGATTAACACGGCCCGCGTATACGCCGGGTCGGCCTACGACGCCTGAACCTCAACAGGTTAGGTTAGGTAGGAAGGTGAAGAACAGCCAGGCTCGGACTGGACACCAACGCGGTATGGGTGGACGCGAGACAGATGAAGACGACACGCAACAGATGGAACTCAGAAAAAGAAAAAGCTCGATATCGGAGCTCATGTCGCAGCCCACGGTCGGCTTCCAGGGCGTGCCCGGCGCGTACAGTGAGTCTGCGTCCATCGAGGCCTTCGCCGCAGCCGGCGTGGACGAGATACAAGCTCGCGGCTTCCACACTTTCGAGGACGTCTTCGTGGCGCTCTCAAAGGGCGCGATAGACTACGCAGTTCTCCCGGTCGAAAACACGCTCGGCGGCTCCATCCACGTCAACTATGATCTGCTGCTTCGCTTCCACGGCGCCGTGCACATCCTGGGCGAGTACACCCTCCGCGTGCGCCACACGCTCCTCGCGCTGCCCGGTGTGCAGCTCAACGACATCAAGAAGGCGATGAGCCACCCGCAGGCGCTTGCACAGACAGAGTCGTACCTGCGCACGGCGGGAATCGCGCCCCTCGTCGGGTACGACACCGCCGGGTCAGCAGAGCTGGTGGTGCAGCAAGGGCTGCGCGACACCGCCGCGATCGCTTCCATCCACGCGGCCAAGGCGTGCCAGCGCGCTCTAGCTCTCTCTGTCGCCGCCGCTGCTGCCGCCGCCGCCGCCGCCGCCGCCGCCGCCGCCGCCGCCGCCGCCGCCACTGTATCTCCTACTCACCACTGCGCTCTGCCTGCACCTGCACTCTGACTGCAACACTCGGACTGCAACACTTGGACTGCGCTGCTCTTGCCGGCGCCAGCTCTCTTGCGCCCGCCCGTCCGCCGCCGCCGCCCGTCCGCCGCCGCCGCTCGGACGGGCGCCCGCCGCTTCTGATGGCAGGTGCACGGCCTCGAGGTGCTGGACTACGGGATCGAGGACGACCCGAACAACTTCACGCGCTTCCTCATCCTCTCGCGCGCCGCGCCGCCTCCGGGCGCGCTTCTCGGCTTCGCCGCCAAGACGTCCGTCGTCTTCACACCGCACCGCGACGAGGTGTGAACGCAAGACCTGTCCTCTCCAGATATAGCCGAGATGCAGCCGAGGTCGTCACCCCACCGCGACGAGGTGTGAACGCAAGACCTGCCCTCTCCACGGCTGCAGCGGCGTGAAGAGCGCCTCGTCACACGCCTCGTCACAGCTTCGCGGGCGAGAGCAGGCGGGCGTCCTCTTCAAGGCGATGTCCGTCTTCGCGGTGCGAGACATCAACCTCTCCAAGATCGAGAGCCGGCCACACAAGCCGGGCGAGAATAGCCGAGATGTAGCCACACAAGCTTGGCGAGAGCAGCTCGGCAGGAGGACGCCAAAGGCACGCACCCTTCCGAGACCCTTCCCGGCACCTTCCTGCAGGCGTGCTCGGCGCGGGAGCAGGCCCAGCCGCTGGCGCTTCGGGCGGCGCAGAGGCGCGCCGAGCGTCCGCGGCCAACGGAACCGCGGTTGTGCCGGCGGCTAGCTTCGAGTACACCTTTTACGTCGACCTGCTGGCGCGCCGCAGAGTCGCGGCCCCTCGCCCCTCTCTCTCTCTCTCTCTCTCTCTCTCTCTCTCTCCCTCTCTCTCTCTCTCTCTCTCTCTCTCCCTCCCTCCCTCTCTT